TAAAAAAATATTGGGCACGTTAGATTAAACATGGCTATGCCGTATTCGTATCTTTTCAGTACAAAACCAGTTTTGAGGTTGCCCGTCGTTAGCATCGAGCAAGGCCAAAAGGGGCCCAGATTTCTGTCCCCGGGCCCGCCCCATAGCTCGAGACATCTTAGACCTCAAATTTGTCAGGGTGACCGGAAAGCGCCGAGAATTTCATTTGCTCACATTATTCCAAGAATCATGCAACAAAGCACGTGATACTGTACCGTCTAAAGCGATGTCTGCAGTCTGTTAGACCAGCAAGAATCCGGCATAAAATGCTTACTTTTCACTTAACTTTATGGATTATTCTATGTGTATACCTTGTGGCGTACACAATCTTTTACATCCCCTTCACATGGAGAGGGACCCACAAATATTTTATTGTATTTGGGCCCCCTCCATGTGAGGGGGTGTAAAAAATTTTGTAAACTATTGTGTACATATAATACTTCCCTAAATTTATTCAGCTCTTGATTGATCCCCAATTTTTCAAAAGACATTTTTTCTCTTCTTTCCGACCATACATTTTTCAATAAAATAATATTACTCGCAAATCCAAAATTTTTTACTTATTTTTTAACCATATATTCTCTATCAATCCACTATTCCTAAATGCATTCTTCCAATAAAATGAAGCTCAAACATGCTCTCGATATAAGACACTGCTTATTTTCCAATAAAAGGCATGAAAGTGCTTATTTTTCACTTGATTTGATTCAATATAACATTTTCCTTTTGCTTTTCTTATTTTTCACTCTGTCTGAGAATGTAATTAGTTGAATCTTCAGAAGAAAATCTGTGTTGAAGATCAGCAACTCTATAAAAAAATGAGAAACTCCCTTTATTAAACTGAACTGCTTGGAAAATTCACCTGCAAACACCTACTGAAGTTACAAAATACAGATTCTACACAAAATTATACATCCAAAGTCATGGCCCGACTTTATTCTTGGTTTGAGGGGGATCTTCAACGTCTCCGAATAACTTTCCTTAACGCTTGTGTAATTGAACCTGTTGATGCAGTTTTCGATCCCTTGAACTGCAAAATGAAGTAATTCAAATCCTATTCACTACCTTAAATTTTAAAAGGCGTAGATAATTTTCTAGACGTGAAGAGAGCAAACCTGAGATTTTATAGTCAAAGAGAGTATCCCATCATTGTTTGATGATCGAACGGATTGAGAATCCAAATGCAGTTTGCTTATGGCTTCCATGACTTCAAGCAACACGTTCTCTCTCCACAGGCACCTCATCTCTATCAGCACAACATCGTCGACAACACTAACGGTTATATCATCATTCGAAGAATCTCTCAACAGACTGCAGCCATTGTTAGTTCTCTGTTCTTCCATATCACCAGCCTTCCTCTTGTTTTTCGAAGACTTCTTGCTGATTTCATTCTTGTTAGTGCCATAATTGTCAGAAGTTCTCTCAATGGCATCGTAAGATTTACTTCTTGTCCTCGAATCTAGCATGTCTACATCTCTGTGAGATTCCAGCTCTTCAACCCTTTTCTCAAGCTCCCTTAGGCGCTCTATCGTGCGATCGAGAACTGATATTTTATCAACCTGCTATCAGAAAAACCAAAAACCTTCTTAGACGGTCATTTTTCATTCCCAGTACTAAGCCGAACTGAACATTACTATGAACAAAATTTTGACTGCCTTATGAAACATATCATCAGTGAATGTTTGATATACAGTATTTGACCCAACAAGACTATATAATGAGCAAAATTTTAACTAAGTTATTGGCCACGACAGGACCATATGAGTGGGCTGATAAAAAAGAATTGCGGTTGTAAGTACCTTGCCACCAGATG